CGCTCTCTCACACACACACACACACACACAAATGTACAGAGATACCAACATTTCATGTTGGAAAAATACTGCACCAATGAACATTTTCATCTAAACGTTCCTTTAGTCTGTCACTGACTCTTTGGCACAGCTGCACAGATTCAGAGAATTGATGTTCCTATGAGCTGTGACTTAAATTTACTTGTGTTAATTACCATAATATAATTTGATCAGGTTTTAGAAAATCTCTTCACTTTCTTACTCAATATAAGGCACTATAAATAAATACAGAACCATAAAAAAAATTGACAGACAAATAAGTGTCATCTTCCTCATGCTAATAAACTGCCGTCTTTAAAGAAACAGAAAATTATTATTTTTTTGTTCCACTACAAATATTTCACCCCAAGTGCAAAAAAAAAAACCCGAACAATTCTTCACCACATTGAGGAAATACGTCCTCAAACAACTGCAACCCAACACATCCTTCACATTCAGAAATCAAAATATTAATCCATCATATCAAATGAGAAAAGAGATTTGCAACAAAATATGATGTATTAGTAGATGGTAGATTTGAACCAAATATTGATCATACAAGTCTCCCTTTGTTCTCTCCCAGGAGAGCTGTAATTGTTACTGAAAGCAGCAAATATGATCTTGTAGTTAGTTAGTTGTATAAATATGTAGCTGTGATAACAGTAGTGCAGATTTTTTTAGGGTTCATCATCCTTCATTGGTCCAATTATCCAACTGAGTGAGGAAAGTTCTCTCTGAAAGTTCAGCGGATAAATTTCCTAATTTCAGTGGTTAAGATGTATGTTGGCGCCCTCTGTAGGTCAGAGCTGGTATTTCATGCTGTGATGTCAGGCTTCAAGGCCTCCATCTCAGACTCTTGTTCTTCGTTCCTGTGAGAAAAAGTACTCTTATTGTCAGCAGCAAGTGTTGCTAACGTGACTCATGTCATTTTATAAGACCTTTGTAAAAAAAAATGTTGTTTTAAATGAAATAAAATCGTAAGTATATGTCCTACCGCAGTAGCAGCTGCAGCTGTTTGTTGTTGTACTGCCTGCATTCTTCATTGATGGGATACGTTTTAAAGATGAGAAGCCCCAGTGCTATAAGTGATACAGGAGCAGCCGACACCAGCATCTTCAATGTCAGATTCACAGAATCAGACTGAACACAAACTCCCGTCACATAACCTGCAAAGCTAATGGGACAGAATCAGAAGAACCTAAATATGAGCAGATGAAATATGAAGGCCAGAATGTAAATCACAGATCATGATCTGTTCACAAACTCATAAAAGGGCTTTTTAATACACACACACACACTGAGGAATATAAAGTTACCTTAATGCTAGTGTTGATACTCCAAGTGACACTCCAGAGGCGAATTTGGTGAAAAAAACATAGAAAGAGTAGAAAATAGCTTCATGGCCTTGAGAGGTGGGATTCTGGACTTTAAAATCATCTACAACATCTGGAAGCATGGACCTGAAATAGAAGCATCTATATGAGTAAAATTATGAACTTGGTATATAATTCATCCTGGTATGGGATCAGATGACTGTATTCTACTTCAGTTTTTTTTTTTTACAATTAAGTTTATTTCTGTGATAGCAAAACCACATTTTCAGCAGCAATTACACCAGAATTTAGTGTCACATGATCCTTCAGAAATCATTCTAATATGCTGACTTCGATGATAATAATAAATCTAATAAAACTAAAATCTTAATAATCAATGTTGAAAACAGCTGCATAATATTTTTTAGAACCATGATACAGTTTTCAGGATTCTTTGACGAAGAGACATTTCAAAAGAACACCATTTATTTAAAACTAAAATCTTTTGTAACATTATAAATTTAATACATCCTTGCTAAATCAAACTATTAACTTCTTATTGACCACAAACTTTTGAATGGTAGTGTACATATAAAATATGTGGATATAATATCTTAATTTGTTTGTTTTAGTGAAGGTTCTTTATAGTTAGTTATTTACAGTTATTTATTTTTAAACAAAATAATCCAAATGTCTTCATGTATTACCATATTCAGAACATTTAATAACGTTTTCCTAACTATTTTTTTAACATTGTACAAAAAATTAGAATAATCTTGAGCAAAATAAGAAAAGGGCATTATTAGTTGCATGAATGATTTATGTTCATATTAGTGAATGGCAATAGCATCAGGAGTTTGGTTCCCAAGTAATAACTAGAAAATCAAGTCACATTGGGTACAGGTGTCTGCTGAATGTATAAACGTAAATATTTCCCATTCATGATTCTTTTTGGGAAGTCATATTTCTATAGCCTTTTGTTATAGATGCTTCCTTTTAATATCAGCTAGCAGACATCCTGAAATACACCTCCGTCTTCTTTTTCTTTGACTATACAGAACAACTGGAACAGAAAAACACTCACCAGGGCAGGAGGAAGGCCACTGCCACACTGGCACCAGCTGCGATTGATACGATGTAGGACACGAAGAGACTACTCTTTACACACACCACCAGGATCATGAAGGGCACTGCCCACTAAAACACAATCACAAGATTAATCATGACTGCCAACAAACACATCTCACACTAATGTAACACAAGCATCAGAAACTCACTGGTATGCCAATGTACACAGCAGTCTTTTTGCCAAACCGGCAGAGGAACCACTGCCACATGGGAATAGTAAAAGTGGCAGACAGCTGGGAAGACAAATCACACAAACAGTTATTTACGTTTGACCCCCTACAAAACCTCATTACCATATTATGCAACTCCAAGATAATAGTGCAAACACTGCTGAAGTTATAAACAGTCTTTTCATCTGTCAACTCAAAGTCATGCTGCTTCTAAACCAGAAACGCATGTCTTTCATCACTATGGAGACTGCTAACCTCATCCAAATTGCTGAGTGCTGTTAAAACACCCAACCAAACAATTCAGAAGTGCACAAAAACACTTATTCAAGCAGTCGGTTGAAAACACTCTCACCATGATGACCAGTAAGATGTTCTGAAAATCCTCTCTGAATCCCAGTGTGTACTTGATGAACACAGCAAAATTTCCCTCCAGCAGCTGAGAAAGGAAAACAGACCGATGAAATGAGATTCCATCAAGCGACTGATGATTATTGTCCATACAGTGTCTTCATTTCAAACCCAACCTCAGTCTCAAAACAATTCTGAACTTCGCTTTTGACTGCAAACCTGTCAAAATGCTGACTATGATTCTAAACCTAATCTCTTGCATGGCAGCCTGTCTCTCTCTCTCTCTCTCTGTTTTAACACACAGAGCTCATCTATGTAACGTAGAGCTGTGCTATGGTCAGTTCCAGAAACTGCTTTCTCTCATACATATTACCTGAAAAACTGTCTAGTGAAAACACAAAGTTTGCATCTTTGTAAATGATGTGGAATGAAATCTCATCATACAACAGAAATGAACATAGGTACAACTAAGCATTTCAGAACAAATGTGACATGTTTTAGATGCATCTCTAAAGTGCTTTTCTTACCATGAAGGCCAGAGAAGTGAAGAGGAAGGCCAGCACCAGTTTAACATATGGCCCATGACCCATCACCAGCCGCAAACCAGTCTGAAATGACACATGCTTCTGTGCTTTTAAACCACCCTGATCTGAAAAAGACAAGAGGAAAAAGAATAAATGCACCAAAATACACATTCAATGTTGATACACCAAGTTTCTTTGTGAACGTAAACAGCCTACAATTACACCAGGGTTTCAACATGGGTTTGCGAACCCCTGGGGGTTCATGAAGGGAACTGCAGGGAGTTCATGAGTTACTGAGAGGGTAATATTTAAATTATAAAATGACAACATTTAAATTATAAAAATTGTATTTTATGTGTACAATTATAAAAAATTTAAAAATACAATCTTAATACAAATATGAAATATTTTATTTGTTTACCTGCACAGGTAATACTTTACAATAAGGTTAAATTCGTTAGCATTATTAATTTATTTGGTCTCATCAACTAACACTGAACAAATAGCATTTATTAAGCTAGGTTTGATGTTCATTTATAAATATTCTATCATTTATTGTTAATCTATGTTCATTCACAATACTTCAACTATTATTTTAAACAACTTAAAATGTTAAAAAGTGTTAGTATATAAAGAACAAACTAACAATGATCAATACTTTTACATTGTTTATTAATATTTGTTTATGATACTTAATGCATTATGTAATAAAAGTATTACCATTATATCGCTATTCCCTTGCTGTAAAATGGTTTCTCTAGGCTTATTTTTGTATTCCATATTTTGTAAAGACTCTGTGAATGTGTATGTAAAGGGAAGTAACTCACTGTCCTGCTCTCTCACTCCAAAAAACAGCACAACAGCACACAGGACATAGATCAAACTTATGACTGCAGATGCAATCATATACGCAAGCCTCTGTGAAAGAGAGAGATATGATGATTGAGGTGCCAGAGGTTGATGAGATATGAAACAGTCTTCTGCTTTATAATGACCACGCCCCCTCTCACCTCATTAAAAACTTTTTTATCCAGTAACTGAGAGTTATTGCCATGCACAGAGTGATTGGAGCTGTTGGTCGGGGATGTGTTGTTAATGCAGGGGGTGTTGGCCATGCCTACAATCTGCCCCTGAACGGCAGTGCCAATTACTGTACCCAATACCTCTACAGTCATGCCTGAGAGAGAAAGAGAACAGAAAAACAGTCAGATTGTTTACGCTGGGAAGAACAGCGTAAACAACTACTATTCAGAATTAATTCTTTTATTCAGCAAGGATGCATTAAACTGACCAAAAGTGACAGTAAAAAAACACATATTATCTAAAATGTATATTTCAATTAAATCCTGTTGTTTTGAACTTGTGCATCATAGAATCCTAAAAATAATGTATAAAGGTTTCCACAAAACATTAAGCAGCACAACTTTTTTCAACATTGATAATAAGAAGAAATGTTTAATTGCTTTTACAGTTATTATGTGGTTGTTGCATGTATTATCTAGCAGATTGCAACAGGAAGGCATAAAAATGAGTGTAAATGCTCTTACGGTACGCTGTGGCTGAATCTCGTTCCTCCTGTTTATTGCTGATGAACATGGTCAGAGCGGAGTAAGGCACATGAAAGCACTAAACACACAAACACACAGAGTTACTCACTGACAGAATGGCATAAATATGCTAATTAACAAATGCAATGATTATGCAATACCAGTCAAAATTTTGGACACACCTTCTCATTCTCATTATTAAAACTACAAAATTCTCATTATTAAAACTACAAAACAACACAAATGGAAGTATGAATATGTGATTTAAACTATTTTTGCTATGATTTGCTATGCATGCATCCAATGTATCCTGTCCTACTCATCCATTTTTTAAAAAAAAGCCATAAATAAATACATTAAATAATGAGTATTCAAGTAGTTAGTTGAAAAGACATTTAAGCATAAACATTTAGATTAACCCTTTTTAAATCATTTGTGTCCCAATGTTTGACAAGTAGTTGACATACATGTATATAAATGTATAGCATCACAGTATATAATGATAAATTGAATTCCTCAAAAACTAGAAGAATGTGTACTAACTGTTTGGAGAGTCTGGAAGAGACAGTAGAAGAGCAGATACCACATTATCTTTCCCTGCTCTATAGGTGGAACTACCCATATCAGGAAATAACACAACACAGCTGGTATGGTGGACACCAGAATCCTGCAGAGAGAAAACAGTCATCTTTATCTAATTGTACTAAGGCTTGTTGCAGATGTTAAGCTTTAGGGGAAGAACCGGGAATGCACAGATCGGTTAAGAACTGATGCAAAAACCCCACACAGCATCTCTGCTCGTGTAAGGTTTGACGATGAATATGATCACAGTGGGGTGTGTAGGTGTGTATGAACTCATCTGTATGAGGTTAAGTGAGGTAATGAGCGTTAACCTAATCTCTATGAGGTTTACTGATCTTTCCCCTGTGGCTCTAAACAAGAGCCTCTGCTGCGCAGGGTTTCATTGGATGTTTAACTAACCAAGCCAGCTAGACTTTGGCAGGATGTGAAAAGGATTTCTCTAATCACACCACCTCATTTTAAAAACTCTGTGCACTAATCCGATCAGAGAGTCTACTAGGAAAACAGTGACCATTAAGAGACACTTCGAAATCGAAAGTTCATACTGACAATGACAAGTGTATACAGCAGGAGAGAAAAACATCTTACAATGAGCTTTTCTATGATCAATACAGGGGCGGTGGTGACTTCAGAATCTGTATTGGCCACATTGCATTTTGGAATACAGTATTTTCCATGCTGTGTGCTTCATTGTATACTTTTTGCAAATGTAATAGGTTACATAAATACAGCACAATCTGTGTAGTATGAGCCACAAACAAATGACTAAAAGAAGGAAAATCCTTTAATGAATCATTCTAAAAGAAAGGAGTGATGCACCAAAATTTTGCCCAACACACACAAAATCAAAGAATTTTTGAAGGCGAAATCATTGATCTAATCAGTGACATTTAATTAGCAGTGACATTTAACAGCAGTGTTTGCTTTACCATGACCAAAAATTAGCCAACTATGACCGGTTCAACTTTGAGAACATGACAGAACAGCATCCGGAATTAACTAATTACCCAAATTGAATAACTGAAATGTTATTTTCGGTTTTAGCTAAATTAAAAGTTTAATTTTGGATTCGACAAAAAATTATTTTGGTGCATGACTAGATTAAAAAGTGTCTGCTAAATGAATATATGGAATGCATTATTACTTTAAGCAATGTCAGTCTATAAATGAAGCAAGATTTGTGCAATTCGGGACATTTATATTAATATCATAATTAATGATTGACTGACTGTGCATATAACAGCGTGTACTCATGACCAATCACTGTTCAGCACCTCATAAACAACAGTGAAGCCACCAGCATAAGACGGCTACCTCTGATATGCAGAGAGGAAACAGTTAATGTCTTATTCAGTCTTGCAGATGCATGACAGTCTAGAATTGCAGCTGCTCTGTTCTTTGTCATAAGTGCCCCAAAGGAAGCTGTAAAACCCTCCTAGTCTATTACTGGAGTTGCCCACCCTGGAGAAGTCCAATACATGCCAAGTCCCAGTAAGTAAAAAATATTTTGCTCCACTTCCTTCTCATAAACAGCACTGATATCTTCATGCCACCAGGCTTTTAAAGTGTACACCCTACAGAAACCAGGTGATTAGCAGAGCACTTTAGCACCACAATACATGCCTGTCATCATATTACATCAATACATGGACAGAAGGTATTGATTTTTGAATGGGCAAATTAACTTTTAATCTCGTACTTAGAAGGGACAACATGGTCAAAACAAAATATGTTGAATGTATTTGAATGAAATGTATTTTTTTAAAAATAAATAAATAAATACACAATGCATCACATCCTATAAAAAGACATTGCCAGTGTATGTGACTGCCAGGTATTGTATTGCATTACATTTTTATGTATTTGTACATTAGTTTTTTACATTTCTATTTGTTTATTTAAATACATTTCAAAAATATTCATTTCTAAAAAATAGATTTTAGGTAAGTATTTATAATTTCCTGATTGTGGTCAAGAAATCTCTTGTGGTCCGTTCCAAAACTGAAACTGCTAGCATTAACAAACTGCTGTTTTAAACTACCTCTCTCAGCTCTCCTGCATGATGCTTACACTCTGATTGGTCAATTCTGGTGGTGTGGTCGACTAAGCCAATCAGAATGCAAGAGGTTTTTTCTGCACTCAACATCCGTTTTCCCACATGCCATTAATACATACACACACACCTTACAAACATAACAATAAATTTGCATTGTATTTTACTTCAACCCCTTGATCATATCTTGTTTTCTATGCCTGCATTCATACTGCACAAACTAAATATTGGTGTGACAATCTTCAATCCATTAATTTTATTAAAAAGTTTCTATTTCACACCATTAAACAAGAATCATTTTCTCAGAATTGTTAGGCTGGATAGTGTTTCATAATGAACACTTACAAAAAGAACCAGCGAGTTCCTACTAATAAAGTTTGAGGGTGTGTGTGCCCTTTAGTGATGGGGATTGTAGATTTTTGCTTTATACTTTTCATGCCACATCTGAGTGCATGCATAAACAGTCAGCAAAATCCCAGAGAAATGATAACACGTGGTGCTCTTGTACACTCTAGTAACCTCCTGTACACACAACCCAGAGCAGATGGACTCGGCTCTATCACCATGGCTACTGCTCATTTCTCTGTCTTTAATACGTCTCTCTTTCACTCGCTGTGAATACCCACCCAGTCCCAGAGTTTCAGCTTAGTAGATACAGAGTTTTCATTTCCTTTTAATTTCCTCATGAATTTAGAAAACACTACCATGCATATTCCACATCCAGCACACATTACTGGATCATTTCATTGTGTGCATTTCTGACTATCACATACCAGGGCATCATACGTCCGTGCCGTGTCCATGGGCTTCTGCTTACTAAAAACCCAATTGCAGGATCAGTCACAGCATCCCAGGCCCGACCCACAAACAGGATCACAGAAGCATTGAGGGGATCCAACTAGAAAAACAGATTTAGTCACTAGTTAATGTAGGATTTACAGTACAGACTGTAGAAAAATAAGAATTGTTAGAAACTGCTGCTGAGAAACCTGGAAATGTGAAAAAGGTCTATTGTCATAAAATGTGAACTGTAGCCTATTATCACACAGTTCTATTATATATAGTTGGATATATAAATATATTCATATGTACAGTATACTCACATAAGAGAGATTTTATGTAGCAAATACTCGTTGCATGATTCTTTAGTTTATATCCATGCAAAATTTACCTACATTATCACACAGCTCTATATATAAAAACAAAGCAGCAAGCTATTTTGTTTGAATGCATGAAATGTCTAATTTATTAGCCGCTATAGGTAAATAACTAGAAGAATAACAAAGTGAAGTAAACACTAAAACTATCTGCGCTACAAACCAGTGTGTTAATGATTATGATAATTAATTAAAATAACATGACTACAAATGCCAATTTGCAATATCAAGCCAATAACAGATTGTTCTTGAACCACATAACACTTCATCTGGTGCCAATCCTTCATTTGCTCGGCTGACTCCGATGAGAAGATCTGATTGGCTATCGCTATGGAAACTGTTGCAATAATGAGGCAGAAGGAGTTTTGAACAAGATAACTGGAGCAGAGAATTGTTAAAGTCACAGGGATGCAGTGCACACAGCAAGACAGATCAGTTTTATATCTGCTTTCTGCCCTCTCACATGCTCTCTTTCTTTCTCTCCCACACTTGTTTCTGCCCTTGACCTGGGGCTCTGGGCCATTGTTCGCTTGCTTTGTTTGATTACAGCAAGGACAAGGAGAGATAATTTTCTCACCATTCTATCTAGCGATATGGAGTGATATGATACAGAAACAAAAACGATCACTGAGCCAGTTTATTTTTATAATCAGGTGTCGAGGTCTCACGGTATAGATCCTCTACCAATCAGTTATAGCGTTCCCATATGTATGCTCACCAGTGCCACATCAAGCAAGAAGATTTGCAGAAAGAAGCCCAGGGCGGTGGCTGTGATCTGATATGGAGCCCCTCCGATTGCAAAACACACCTTGCTCCACACAGTCAGAGCTCTTTTCCTCTCCTGCTGTGGGGAGAGCTGAAAGGAGGACAAAAAAAGAGGTTACGAAGAGAAGGACAATGACAGTGATTGTAGCAAGTAAAACAAGAGCCATGAGAAACCGATTAACTTTTCACCGCAAGAGGACACGATAAAATTCTAACCGGAGGAGCTGATTTAGTTTGGACTCTGTGTTTGTATGACATTCCATTTGAAGCTCTTAAAAAAACAAAAATTAAATCCCAGTGCTCCGCATCAGACCATTCAGAACTGCTGGAGTGCTCTTAGCATTTCAGTCCAGCAGTAATAAGACCCTCAAGTTCCCTCTACAGGGACATTACAGTTAAACTGGACTTTTAACCCTTCTACCTGCATTTGAAAGGGGTCATATGATGCGATTTCTAGTTTTCCTTTCTCTTTGGAGTGTTACAAGCTGTTCGTGCATAGATAAGATCCCTAAAGTTGCAAAGACTAAAATCTCAAACCCAAAGAGATATTCTTTATAAAAGTTAAGACTCGTCCACGCCCTCCTAAAATGCCTCGTTTAAACACGCCCCCACATGTCTATGTCACTGTGTGGGAAGATTTGCATAACGCCGCCCAAATGTTCACGCAAAGAAAGGCGGCGTAACTTTGATTCTCGCTGTAGTATTGTTGCCATTGCCCCCATGTCGTGGAGACGCTGTGTTTCTTCGTTGTGAAAGCAAAACTACTTTGTTAGGCCTTCCAAAAGAGGACACAACTAGACATCAGTGGTTAAGTTGTATTTACAACACTGTTCCAGAACAGTTCAAACCAAATATTCGTGTGTGCCGAAAATTGATCGTCTGCCAAAAACTGACTGCCGTCCGCGTCCGTCCATTTTACACTTGCCAAAAAGTGATTACAGACTCTACTTATTGAGTGAACTGTTCTTTCTGCCTCAAAATGACTTGATTTCATTCATGGTTGTTATATTTGACAGATTATAGCTCATTCAGTCCTTTTTACCTGTTGACAGCAATAGGCTTGCCGCGATAGACGGTACCTGACAGTGATACCGGTGTTAAGCTGCAAAAAATCGCTTTGTAAAAATCGACGCGTTTCAGAAAGGCAGGGCATAGAAGAGAAACAATAATGTACCGTATGTGAAAAATAATGTTTTTTTTTAACCTTAAACCGCATAAACATTTCATTACACCAAATACACAAAATAATGTTCTTTTTTTAGCAACGTCATATGACCGCTTTAAGGGTATCCTTCATTCTAATGTCACCGATTTGACTGCTTGCACAATTGTCTTTCATTTAGGTGGTCTAGTTAACAACTATGAGATGCTTAAAGAATTCCTTTCTCTGACTGGAAAATGCTGCGACAGACTGTGATCTCACATTATGAGAATTACAGTTTAGTGTAGCTAACTATTTTCATTGGTCCCTCACTCTATATATATTATTATTACTATCAAAAGTACACTGGTTAAGGGAAGAAGGGATACAGCTAAAACTACTGGGCATGCGCGCATCAATATAGCATAATGTTTTTCACACTGTACATCGATAATGACTGTTATGCATTATTATAAGGGGTAGGATTAGGGTTGGGGTAGGTGTAGACGTTAATAAAACACAATTTAATGGGTAGGAAATGTAATTTATTGTTAGCTTCCTGTAGCCTAGCCACAACCAAGTACCATGTACCTACACTGCATATCAGTTTCACAATGAGAGAGTTTCGCAAGCTTTCCTTATGTTGCTTTACTGCGTTTTAATGATAGTAAATAACATGTGAGAAGGAGGGTGAATTAATGCAATGCTCGACAATATTTACATCTGACTTTGATGTGTAAAAGCATGAGAAAGTTCACATAATTTTTACCCTGTAATCAGCGCCCACTATGAGTCATATATCTACAGTACATCATGGACAGCATGCTTTCTGGAAACGTTTACATTTTTGTAATTGGTTAGCCAATAACACCAAATAAATAACAGCAAATTATGCCTTAATACATCGTGCTTGCTTGTTAAATCAAACTCTATTCCCTCCGGGTAAATGAACACGTCCCCTTTAAATCCGGCTTTTCTTCGCAGCGTTCTTCGCAGACACGCCTCAATGAAGCTAGTGTGCATTACAGACAGATATCTATATTCACAAATATACAGTCCATCGGCTGAACGTATATTTCTATATTTACAAATATGACATCAATGTCAGTCGTCGGTAGCAAGTAAGCTCTTCCGCATAAACCTTAACGGTAGCGAGCGTACGGCACGTGCTGCTGTAATCATTATATTCAGCATCAATCTAAACTCCCGCCATATCAATTAACCCCACCGTCTGCTCTGAAAGTACCTACTTCCAGTCAAAAAATACATAGTACAAAAAAATGAAGTATCAATTATTTAATTCATATCCAGGTAACGTTAACCTACCTTAGAAATTTTGATTCCATCTTGATTCACAGTTTTGGCTGTATGTAACAAACCAGATGAGAACTGTTCGGCTCCCTCTCCTCTTGCCATAACACTAATCAGAGATGTTTTTATTTCAGGAGCAGATCGAGCTTCTTTATTCTTGTGTTCAGGTTAAGTAACACTGTTCGACAAAGTGCTGCTTCCACGGGCTAAGAAAACGAGATGCTGATCTCCACTTCTGCCTCGTTTGAATGCTGAAGTGTTCGTGTCCACGCCCACGCGGTATTTTCCCACCGTCACGCATAGAAAGATGTGCACACGCAGGCAAACGCCGAGATGAATATTTTTATTTATTTATAAACACACACACACACACACACACACACACACACACACACACACACATATATATATATATATATATATATATATATACATATACACACACACAAAACATTTTAAAACATTTTATAATTTTAATATTTTTTATTAATTATGACACATATGTGTGGTGAAGCATAGTGGCAAAGATAAGGTTGGAATATGGACCAAAGCCCCACAGCCTCAACGACCCTCAAAAACCTTATTTTGCATAGCCCAGGACTAGTAAAGGAAGCGACTT